TGCTGGGAATTAATTGAATCTGGATCCCCTGCAGGAGCAGTCAGCACTCATGACCATTCCGTCATCTCTCCAGTCCCTAAGTTACATGTTGAAATGAGTTAACTGACAATAACATAAACTTTAATAACATTTTGTAGCCAAATTTAAAACTTACTGATTAGAATGGCTATTCTAACTGTATGGTACTAAGACAATGTCATATGTCTTTCGAGTTTCCTGTTAGAATGTTTGTGGATTTTGAGTCTGGTTAATTTGTATAATTGTTTTTAAATATACAAGTTCTTTAAAATATTCTAAAAGGTTTTATTTTTTTTTCAAAGCAGAGTTTCTCTGTGTAGCCATGGCTGTTGTGGAATTAGCTCTGGAGACCAGGCTAGCTTTGAATTCAGAGATCAGCCTGTCTCTCCCATCTAGGAGCTGGGATTAAAGGTACAAGTTTAGCAAATTGCTGTTCCTTATAATAAAGTTTTAATAAAATTACATCTATTATTAAAGGACAAAAAGGGGATCAGATGTGCCCTCTGTCAAGGACCCTGTGCTTTTATAAGAAAATGCTAAATTGCATTCAAGAATTCTATAAAGAAAATTAAATCCATTAACTAGAGAAAGACACATATGAAGTAATGTGTGTTTGTATGTGTGTACATTGTGTGTGTGTGTGTATGTGTGTGTGTTCCATGTGTGTAAGACAGATTATTGACAAAAATAAAATGATGTGTGGTAAGAAAGGATTTTTGAATGAGTTTTGTTCTAAAACAAAGATTACTGAAAATAAGAGAAAAGGATTAGGAAAAAGGCACGTAAAATGCTTTTTACACAAGAATGTTGTAATAGGTCCCCATATCTTAGTGGGCACCTAGATCTTAGCACAACTGACTTCATGATGGAAGTACCATTCAGGCTGTGAACCTCAAAATATGGACATCACTACCTGTCAAAAGTAAAACTAAGGCCTAGTCCATCAAAGTCCATAGTTCTGGGAAAGTCCCTAAATGACTCACCTTGCATTTTGGCTTCTCTACTTCTGCTTTGGCTAACTGTTCTTGTTACATATGTCAACCCAGGACATGATTTTTGTGTGTAAAAAATTATCCTGAGAGAGGCTACACTGGGATTTTAAATACCCAGTGTAGGTGTCAGTCGGCTATTAAAAACTCACTATTGGTTTAAACACATGACTGAGAAGTCTTCTCTAATGGATACCTCACAACAAATGTGTGTGAAACTTTGCTTTTTTGGAGGCTGAGGGAACAGGTGTGTGGCTTATTCTTTTAATCTAAGTACTTGGGAGGCAAAGGCAGGCAGAACTTCATGAAATTGAAACCAGCCTTGTCTACTTAAAGAACTCCCAGCCAACTAGAGCTACAAGGTGAGAGCATGACTCAACAGAGTCAAATTACTTTTGGTCGAGGTCTAAGTGCTCTACGATGGCCAGATTTCAGAGGACTGTCTGTTCCTCAAGACTTATGTGAGTGAAATTAAGTTTCTTCAGTCCACACTTGGAGGCTGATATTGGTCAGATAGTGGGGCTAAGACAATAGTCATAATTTTGCCCCTTGTTCTCAGGTCATCCAGGTCCCAGGTGACCAAGAGACAATGGGAGAGGTCAAAAGCAGCCATGGTTCTGATAAGCCTTCTGTCTTCTTGATCATAGACATGACAGAGGTTGAACATGAACCACCAAGTATTTTGTAAGAGGGGCATGAGTCATCACAGAGGGAAATGGCTTCAGTGCTTTCAAGGAAGCCACACAGACAGTAATATGCTAACCCATTCCAACCGAGGGCACTGTCAGTGAGGATAATTAATGGAGGCAATGACGTTCTCCTAATTTTCCCAAAATAAACCCTAAGGGAGCTCAACTGATCATATCACAAAGGGCTTAACTTGTAGCACCTGCATGAGCTCAAACACGTGACAGACTTATTAGTCAGGGTTTACTAGAACAACAGAATGCATAGAAAATCCCTCTCTACATAAAGAAAAGGGGTCTATTAGACTGATTTACAGGCTGTGGTCCAGCCATGCCAACAATGTCTGGCTGTAAATGGTAAGAACAAGAACACGGAAGTTTCTCCATCCATGAGGCTGAATGTCTCAGTTGATCCTCAGTATATCCCGTAATTCTGAATGGTAGGGTCTCATGCCAGTGAAGGAATGGGTTTGCTTCTCGAGGTCAATGCAATATGGAAAGCACAAAATTTTCCTTCTCCCATGTCATTACATAGGCTTCCAGGAGAAGGTGTAGACCAGATTAGATGTGGATCTTCCCACCTCCAAAGATCTGTATTAAAGATGTGACTTCTTACCTCTAAGAGCTAGATTATAAGCGGATTTTACAACTTGAAAGGATCAAATTAATCCAAAAATCCCTCACAGGTTTGCCCAGTCTTTTTTTGTGTTTTAGTTAATTCCAGATGTAGTTGACAACCAAGAAAAGCCATCACAACAGGAAAAGTGTAGCCACATACTCATACAATATGAACAACATTACAAAAGTTTTACCAGCCACCAAAAGGGATGCTCACTTGACCTGGGTCACTTGGGGACATAATGCTTTAAGACCTTGCAGTCAGTTTTCCAAATAACAAGCTTTAGTTCATGTCAAAACCCTCCAGGCCTTAAAGCTGTCAAAGGGCCTTCCAGTGGCTCTCAGATGACAAAATCAGCAAGTGCCAGACTCTCTCTTCCACACTATGGAGATTACTATAGACCTTGTCAGATGTTACATTGGATGTCTTACTGCCAGATCCCGACCCTGGAAGACATTTCATGTTGTCAGGATACAGGCCTTTGTGGTTATAGAGTTGGGCTCCTTCTGGGGAATTCCATGTTAGGCAAGATGCTCACCTAGTTGCTTTCATAAGGATTCTTCAGCAAGGACAGGGATGAGCATTAATATTGATACAGATTTGGCATTTGTTCTCTATGTGTATGTGACCTGTGTCATCAAACCCTTTGCAGAGGAAGGCACCAAAATAATTTCATTATGACATTTCCATACGTGTATAACATAATATTTCACCCATATTAACTCTTGTATTACCCTCTCATTTCCACTCCCACCAGACCCCTTCTCTTTAAGGTAGAATTGCTTCTGCTTCATGTGTGTGTGTGTACATGCGCGTGTGCACACGCATGCACACGCGCGTGCATTTATGTGTCTCAATTAATTTAATTACAATTATAGAAGTGTGGGTGAGGGTTAAGTACAGGAATATGGGCATCATAAGAATGGCTACACGATTGATTAAAAATATCTCTCCCTCTCTAGCACCATTAATTGTAGTTTTGTCCGCAGAGAACTTTGATGTCTCAAGAGCCCCTCTCTCCATGAAGGGAAGGCTGATAGGCCTGCTCTGTGCAGGGGTTGTGCAAGTACTCAGAGCTGCTGAGAGTTCAGCAGTGCAGCAGCTCAGTTATAGCTGGAAAACAGCATTTCACAACATTACACCCTTCTAACTCTTACATCCTTTCTTCCCCTTTCTGCAAGGTGGTTCCTAACTCTTTGATGGGGTGATACAGATACTGGGTCTAATAAAGGCTTTTGCCCCATGCTTTAGGGTAGCTCTTCTCTCTTTGGTCTGTTGATTGTGGTGGTTGATGGAGCAGTTCATGGGCAGATGATTTCTGTCTGGGGAGACTTTCCAGTGAGACCCAGAGGCCTGCAGCCTGGAGTCAGGACCACCTCCACTTGTTAGGGGTGGGGGCAAACCAGGATAGAAGTTGAGGAGTGACCTTCAGACTTCTCTGCAAGGGTTAAGGGCTAATTTCTTTTTAATATGTGCCCTACTATGATGAAGGGACAGTGACAGCTCATTCCAGGAGGTCTGAACCTACTGTGAGCATGTCCTCATCCTCTCTCTCTCTCATTTCCCTGTTTACAGTTGTTATTTTTCCAGGTGGCAGGGACAGAATGCCTGCTGACAAAATTTGTGTCTGCCGTTTTCACTTCTAGACAGACATCCTGATGCAAGGGACTGTGGGTAATCAGGTTTTTGCTCTCTGCAGGATGGTGAGCCCCTTTTTCTTCTAGTTGTGGTTATTATTGCTATGATGAAACATCACAACCAAAAGCAAATTAGACATGAAACTCTTGTTTTGTCAAGTTTTTACATAAAACTAGACAGTCCAACTGAACCCTTGCCAGCCTAACACAAAAACACAACACTTCTTTTTTCGACAAAACACCTTTCTAAACATTTATTTACTTTTTGCATATATCACACATACAGTGTTCTGGCTGCACACATGCCTGCAGGCTAGAAGACAGCATCAGATCTCATTACAGATAGATGTAAGCTACCATGTGGCTGCTGGAAATTGAACTCAGGACCTCTGGAAGAGCAACCAGTGCTCTTAAACACTGAGCCATTTCTCAAGCCCTATAAAACACTTTTCAACAAGAACCTTTCCTTTCTCATTTATACCTAAGATGAAATTTTAATATTAATATCACATTATAAAAACTAAATGACTTAAAATTCCCACAGTCTTTACTAATTTAAACACTTTAAAAGTTTAGTCTCTGTAAAAATCTAAAATCCTGTTAAAAATTGAAATTCTCTTTTAAAAATTCAAAGTTTCTAACTGTGGGCTTCTGTAAATATAAAATTTTAGCTACGTACTTTTTTATTTCAAGAGGGAAGAATCAGGGCACTATCAAAATCTGAACAAAGCAAAACTAAACTCCAACTATAAATAACTCAGTAGTCAATGTTTGGAATCCATTCATAACCGTCTAGAATCTTCCAAACAGGTTGAGTCACATCTCCAGCTCTGTCCCCCCACCCCCAGCATACATAACTTGTCCTCTAGACTTCAGGGATGGGGTTAGGTGTCTTTGATTTGATGTGTTTGTTCCTCACCTCCAGGTAGATGCTATGTGGTGTGTTTACATGAAAAAGACCATTGCGCAAAGGATTTATTTAAACTGACTGGTAAGTAAGCAAGAGACCATGAAAGCTTAGTTCATTTTTTTTTAATTCAGAAGATACAAACAAATCTAACATATTGGATTATTTTAAATTTATAAAGAAAAATGGAAATATCAGTGGAAATATCAGCATCATACAAACAACATCACCACATTATTGCAGCAAAGTGTGAAAAAGCACATTAAGCAAGGACAGGGAAAGACTAGATAATACTGTGAGTCTGAACCTACTTTGTAAAAGAGAAAACAGGATGAAGTTTTCAGGTTCTCATTGCTTCAATAAAAAGAAGCCTAAATCACAGCAGGAATTTAACAAAGCCTGGAAACAGCCAAGAAAGAGATGGTGATGGCTCCATGAAGGCGCAGAGACGCATTTCTGATGGAGAGCATGTGCTTACGGGTCAGAAGGATTTCATGATAAATTAATTTCATCCTAAATGATTGTTAAAAGATCATGAAAAAAACAGAAGCTTTCGTATGTCACAAGTTGTGACAGTTAATTTAAAATGGTATGGATGTTTAAAAACGCTTATTTTAAAAAAAAATAAAAAAAATAAAATAAAACAAACAAAAAAAACCGCTTATTTAATTGCATTTATGCTCGTCAAGATAACTGCTTGTTATTTCTTCTGTGATTGTTAGAACTTAAACTTCTCAATAATGGGGGTCTTATCTGAAGCATGATTGATTTAAAATTTGTCTTTGTCAACATTTATTATCAGAAGTGTTTGATCTTTTGGTATCGTGACACAAAATGATCTAAATAATTCAGACTTGGCAACCTACATGAGTCACCATACAGTTCACTGATCTAAAAATCTTTGTGAAACTGTCCCATAATATTTTACTAAAGTCCCTGAATTTGATTTGGCCACATTTAGGGTATCCCGGGCCGTGAGGTGTTCACTCCTGAAAGTGATATAACAAATTAAACCACTATCTGCTTCTCATGTTTGGGGTAACTGACTTTCTGAGATTTCTAGAAATCCAAAACAATGAGGATCAAGGGTTAGACTGACAGCCAATATGTTCATCTTCCCTCCAGGTTGGCCATGTCCAGGGTGGAGGACAATGGGACTGCTCTAAAGGAATCTCATAGCTTCAGAGAGGCTATGGAGACCCTGGAGTTTGAGTTTTGGGTCATGCCACACTAAAAAACCCTTTGACCATCAGACGGCAAAGAGTGGAGACATGGCTCCTAAAACTCTCCAACCCCTAAAAGTAGCCCCTAAAGAGATACAACTGCCTACAAGAAAAAGAAGCTGTTGGCTCTCTCTATGCTCTCAGACACTTGCTAAAAATGTGCAACTAAAAATAATATAAAATTAAAAGTCTACCAGCTGCACACAGTATTCTCACCATGACTTGGTTCAGCTGGAAGAACTGAAGGTCCCAACGCGCTCTGAATACTAATTAATCGTCATTTATGATCCTGAATTGTCTATCAACTATCTGATGCCTTCACACTAGCCTTTTTCTTCGTACTGATCTCTCACTAGAGGCAGAGATTCCTTTGTCTCAGTACATCACTGGGACAGACGGTCACGGCTCTCACTGAATACTAGGATAAGGACAGCTCCATCTCTGACTCCGTGTGTTCAGGATAAACTCCAGTTATTAAACAGGTGATTGAGTTAATCTTAAATTTCTTCCACAGGATGCAAGGCCATGGGAGATGTCTGGACCAGCTCCTCTCAGGCTCTCCTCATCTCCCTAACTGTGATTAGGTTATGAGACCTGTATCTGTGGGTTCGTCTGACGAGAGGTAATAGCGCTGCGCCTACAGAGGCTCAAACAGATCATTCCTGAGAGTCTCTTGTGGCTTTTTTATTAATTCTTTCTGTGCATGTTTGATGCAACATATCATCAAACACATCCAGACCCTAACGAGTAACCGTAATCTGAGGTCCTTATGTCAAGTTATGAACCCCTCACGGTGCTACGAAACTCATCTAAGAAGATATGCGCTGTCCCCTTTTCGTATGAACGTATAACTGGCCCAGAAGACAAGGCCAGGTAATATCTCGTAACTAGTATTTACAGCCCCCGTTTCCTCTCAGTAGTACTGCCTCATGAGAATTCACTGGCTGTGTTCTGGTCCACAGTGTCTATCATTCTCATGTGTGCATATACACATGTGTGTCTGCTCGTTCACATATTTGTTCCTATGGAGACAGAGCTTTAACTCTGGGTGTCATTCCTCAGCCATGAGCTCTGTGTTTTGATCCAGTCTGTTCCGGAACTCATCAATTCCACTAGTCTGGCTGATGAGGAATTCCCAGGTATGCTCTTCTCTCTCTATCCCCTACACTGGGTTTATAAGTGTGTGTTACCATGGTGTACATGGGTTCTGGGGAGCGAACTCAGGTCCTCATGCTTGTGAGAGCAAGCACTCTAGGACTGAGCTATCTCTTTCTAACTCATTCCTCACTAAAATGTTCATATCAGTTCTGATCTGCAGAATGTGTCTGTGCCAAATGAGGAGTCATTCGGCCTTTGCACTGTTCTCAGAAAGGCGCCAACTGTTGCCTGTAAAATAGAGACACCCAGGGCAAGTCACTGTTTTGTACAGTGAGAAGTAATTTGGAGCCTGGCCCAGCTTGACCTCCACAAAGCTATCAGGAAGGAATGAGAAAGGAAAAGAAGCAAAGCAAGAAGAAGCCCCTGATGGCAACAATGTTGACTCAGATGCCCTGGTGAGTGAGGCTCCCAGACCATCGCTCTCAGGGTTTCCCACCATGTTGATCAGAAGTCACCAGTACAGGTTTTGGAGATGTCATCAGAAATATGTTTGCTTGGTTTGCTGAAGATGTCGCAGGCAATGTTCAAGAGTCACCCAACACAGCTGGTGATGAAGACTGGAGATCTGTCTACAGAGGAGGAGGAGCAGCAGGGAGCACCTATTGACAAAAAGGGTGTGAATTACAGTGGGCTCCTGGGCATCCACTTACAGCATCCCACTCTCCTTCATTTCTGACACTCCCCAACATTACAGACCATAGAACTCAGTCCCATATCCTTTTTCTGTTTCATCTTTTCCTTCTAGATTTTTATGTCACTTTAAGCTCTGCTATGATAAGACTTCCGATATTTCTGGGCTATATATGCATTTAAAAATATATTGCAAATAAAAATTAGCAAACTTTAAAAAAACAACAAATAGAAAAGACCAGCAAAATATGGCTGTATTTCTGTCTTTGCTGGCCTTTTAACTTTCCATTTATTTATTTATTTATTTATTTATTTATTTATTTATTTATTTATTT